GTCCCACTGTTCGGGCTCCCAGTCCGGTCCAGATACGGGCTCTCTCTGCGGTCCCACTGTTGCGATTGGAGGGATCTGATGCCCCCTGGGGTGGGGTCAGCGGTGACCTGCCCTTGTAGAGCAGTGATCCAGTAGTCCAGGAGAGGGATTCCCAGCACACAAGTGCCCGGCCCTCGCTTGTCCCCGACTTGCCATGTCTCTCACCCCAGCGCCTGGCTCTTCTCCTCCGAACTTGGCCGCTTTTTGAAGTGGCCCCATTTAATTCCTGGGGGGCGGGGCGGAGGACCTGCTTCTCGATCCTGCGCCGACCGGCGCGGCTCGCTGGCGCTGGAACTGATCAGCTGCCCGGTCTGGATGTCCTTCAGCCCTTAGTTCTCGATTTCAGGAATGGAAACAATGCCCTAACTGCTTGCTCATGCTCCCTCGTCCCTGACTAAGCCGCTGTTTAAACAGGCGGGTATGACTCTGCGTGAGAAACTGGTTCCCCTCCAGTCGGTGCTTTTCCAGCCCTGCAGCTCGATCATTAACGCAGGGCTCAATCATTAACCCCCTCGCGCGGCTCATTCATTCTCGTTACTAGAATTGGAAAAAGAAACCCGCCGGCCTCACGTCGGGAGGGGGGGGCCAGAGGGAGGCGATCTCGGCCGCCTCCCAAGACAAACCGACACGGGCCGTGCGATAATGGGGCCTTTATTTAATCCCAGCAGCGCTGCGCGTCGGGCCAGCAGACAGCTGTGGCTTTGTGTCCCGGGACACGCTCTCAGCGGCTCTGTGCGGCACACTGTCTGGCTCCGAGAGACTGCTCCCCGCCCGCCCCGTCACCTGCAGTATGGGCAGGACCTGACGCCCTGCTGGGAAGACCCTTCCTCATATACTGGGCTTTCGGACAGAATTCGCTTTTCGGATTCGCCTTCATAGCCAAAATCGCCGAAGGACGTCGTCCGTCTCTCAGACGCCGAAGACTCGAGCTCCTGTCTAGTGATTCTTTCTCCCCCCCTGAGTCCCTGTCCGTCTCCAGGGACTCGTGAACAGGGCCAGACTGGTCCGATCATGCCCACGCTGACTGAACCAGTTGCCCCCTTTGCGGCAGGCGTTAGGCGGCTGATGGTTCGAAGGGACTGTTTGGACTGGGGTGTCTGGGAGAGGAAGCCCTCCAGGAGTGGGACCAGGGCGTCGTCCTGGGCCTGCGGGACAGCCGGGCAGGGGTGGGGGACAGGCTGCGGGGGGTCGCGGGACAGTGGTCTGGCTTGTGCAGGGAGGGGCTGACTCAGACACACCCAGCTCGCACACAGAGGCCCTGTGTGACCGGAGCAGGTAGCAGCATGCCTGGAGGGACTGGCACACACAGACACACACACGTGTGCCTACACGCTTGCAGATCGTCCTCTAGTCCTCAAGTGCTCACAGAAAAAGAGAGCGCTCCTCTGCTTGCAGTGGATGGTGTTTGAGCATGCTCCTCGAGGTGCCTGTGCTGGGTGTTTGAGCTCCTCGAGGTGCCTGTGTGGGGTGTTTGAGCGTGCTCCTTCAGGTGCTCTGCTAGTTACCTGGGTCAGCTAAACCAAGGATCATCAGACTCGAGGATGGGCCTAAAATACACAGCCTGGCTGCTGGCCAAAATCTCTCTGCGGGAATCTGCACGTTTGTCCTCCGAAACGTTTCCTCACTGGAGTTCCAGCTGCAGACGGGCGAAAGGGTTTTCTCAGTAATCCGTTTCGCCTTACTTGGGCGATCGCAGGGCTGCCGTCCTTGTAGTGGCCTGGTCCCGTTTTCCCTCGTGTGCTTTGAAGATGAGGCTGCTGGGTCACAGCACAGAACGGGGTCGGGGGGTTCTGGTCCTCTGATCGGGTCCCTTAGCCCCCCAATGGCAGCCCCCTTCGGCTGGTCCGTCCCCAGACGTCCCGTGTGGATCGCAGGGGCTGGGTTCGCGACTGGAGCCGGCCGGTGGGGGTGTTGGGTGCCGTTTTCAGTCATGTTTTTTCCAGCCAATCAGCCTTCACGCCCGAGCTTGCCAGTACTCTTTGAAGAGACTTGAATCGGAGCCGACGGGATTCCGCTAATAAGCAACAGAACTCACTTCTGTTCTGCGCAACGGTGCGTCGGCAAGGCTTGTCCGGTTGTCCGTCCGTGTCCCCCTGCTCCCTGCTCCGGCTCCCGGAGTTTTCCTCTTCCCTTCCCTAAACCTCCGTTCTTCCCGGCGTTGGCAGGACTCGGCGGCTTCAGCACTCCCTTGAAGCTCCGCTCCTGGGCTATTATTGTCGTTTCTTCCTTTCCAGCTGATTTGTCAGGAATTAATCCGCCCGCAGATCAAAAGGCTTCCACTGTTGGAATGGTTCAGCCTCAACCCAAGAGGCAGTTCCTGGAGCAATCGGGGGAACTGGGGGGGGGTGGTGGGAATAAATAGAACCGAAAGCGAAGCCTGGTGGAGCCCGCAGGGCCACCTTGTCCCTCCTCATGGGACGCTTTGCTTGGGCTTCCTCAAAAATCCGTTTCGTCCCCGCGCCACGGTTTCCTCGTTTGCTCAGCGGTTCACCTGCGGCCGCCAGCTGGGCAGGGTGGCGACGCGAGGGGAGAGGAGGCCCCGCCGTGAGCCGTTTGCGCAGGGAGCGCGATCTTGGAACGGAGGGCTGCCGCGGCCTGGCTTGCCGGGCCCCGTAGGTTCTCGGGTGGCCTGCAGGGGTCGCTGTTGCAAGTGCGAACCCCACGTATCCCGTTTTGGCTGGGGCCGTCCCGGTGGCGTCTGTCTGCCTGGGCTGTGCGGGGCCCGACCGGCGCCCCCGAAGAACCGCTCCTGCGAGTGGAGCCTCTTGGGGAGCCCCTCTGCGCGCTGATCTGGGGGTGCTGTGAGGCGTTTAGGGGGGACAGGGAGAATACCCGTGATCAGGGGTCACAGGGCGCCCTTGCAGAGAGAGAAAGGCCTTGTGCTGCCAGCACCACTCGCGCACTGGAGGTCTCGTTTTGTGGGTCGAATCCCATCGACCGGAGTTGTGCCCTAATGTTGTGCGCGTGATCTGTTTTCTGGCTTATGGCCGTCCGCCATGTCTGATCTGTGGAGAGCGCGCGGGCACGAACAAGCACAGACCCGAGTGCAGCCGTTTCTCCCCCAGGGCAAACAGACACTTTCACCGTCAATCTCCTCCTCTAAATAAGAGGGGAAACAACTGGCTCTTCCAGAGTAGTTTTAAAACAAGGCAGCGGGCGCAGTGTGGGCGTTGTTAATAAAACCGCGGCTCCTGCTTGCTCCTAGACCGACAGGATATTTATACTGCGATCAGTGACTTTACTCACAACGCCCCCCATCAGCGCTGGGCCCAGCGTGCCTGCCAGAACACGATCCGTTCTTGGCTCTCTGTGTTTTGCACAGCGTCCTCCTGAGCGAGCTGTTCGAAGTGACCCTTCTGGCAGCCCTGTTTGAGCTGCAAAGCGTTGACAAGCGTGGGGGACACCTACGGCATTGTAATAGGGAGGAAGTAACTCTCACATCCAGACGAGAACCACACTTCCTCTAAAAAAGCCACAGGATTGCCTGCCTCCTGGGGCCCTGTGCACTGACAGCCAGAACTGTCTCTTCACCCCCCCAGCTCAGACCCGAGCACAAACTGCACACAAACCTGCGGGCTGCTTTAGATGAGCTCAGTCAGTTATCCGTTG